AAGAGGGCGATAGTATGTGCATGGTCCATAACCTGGTGAGCTCCTGTTGGTAGATGGTAGCTTTCAAAATTGCAGCACTCAACCGGAGAGTTTTAATGAGAGGTGAAGTACGTATTAAAACTGAAACTACGAGAGCATCGAAACGGGCCAGAGATAGATATACGCTATCAAGCTATCACAATAGCTCTCGATCAAGTGCCCCCGAGGATTCAACCCTGTTCATTTGCATTATTTTTCATTTATTCACTCACTCATTCATTTACTTATTTATATTATTTTTTCGTTATAATTATCGCAAGCTCGTTTATATCCTACAGCTCGCTAACGCTAATACGGTATTATACCCATTAAACGGAGATTTATCGCATTCGGATATCAATTAATATTTATATTTTATTTAAATGGGCATAGGGATACACTAGTCACTACTCGCTACATACTGTGTACGATATACAATACACAATATACTATAAGCTATAAACCAGAGAGAGAAGATAGATATACACCGGGATTTGTAGCTCCTGCATAAGCCATTAAACGGTGCTCTGCAATGCGGTCCTTCAGCTCGTCCTTTTTTTTTTCTTCACGCTCTGCGAAAGGAGTTGAATAAAAATCTAAATATCCATGTGAATGTTAATGTAAGTGCCTGAGTATACGGATACAGGATAGGGGAAAGGGTGATGCGGGCGACGGGTGTCTCTTAATATTTTATTGCTCTAGGCTACCATCAAGTCGTGCATGTAACGCTTGTAGGTACTTATCAGACGTAATTACTTTTTTGTTATTATTAGTTATTTTTAATTAATGTTGCTTATTTTTCTTAAATAAGAAATCGGAAATTGCAATAATTTATGATGATAAGTATTTAGGCTGCATTCGAAAAGCTCTATCTCTAGATACATAATTAAGAAATGACCTTGTATCTTGGGAACTATTGACATTTTTAAAGATATAAGCTCATCTCGATGTTACACTCATCGAGACCTTTTATTTGAGTACCCACATCATTTTTTCATATATTTATATATATTATATATTTGTATATATGAAAAATATATCAAAATGCATGTGGCTACTCAAATGAAAGCTCTTGATGAGTGTAACATCGGGATGAGCTTATATCTTTAAAAATGTCAATTATTAAGAACTGACCTTGTATCTTGTCAACTACTGACATTTTTAAAGATATAAGCTCACCCCGTCATTACACGCATCAAGACATTTAATTTAAGTACCCACATCAATTTTTCATATATATTTATATATATTATATGTATATGTACATATGAAAAATATATCAAAATACATATGGGTACTCAAATGAAAGCTCTTAATGAGTGTAACATCGGGATGAGCTTCTATCTTTAAAAATATCAATAATTAATAAATGACCTTGTATGCTGTCAACTATTGACATTTTTAAAGATCTAAGCTCACCCTGACATTACACTTATCAAGACCTTTCATTTGAGTACCCACATCAATTTTTCATATATTTATATATATTATATATATGTATATATGAAAAATATATCAAAATGCATATGGGTACTCGAATAAAAGCTCTTGATGAGTGTAACATCGGGATGAGCTTACATCTTTAAAAATATCAATAATTAAGAAATGACCTCGTATCTTGTGAAATATTATATAATTATAATAGATATTATATTATATAAATATACAGAAGAAAAAATTTTTATAATTTTCTTAAATTTTAATTACAAAGGCTATTACTAATTATTTAATTTGATAATAAATAAATAAATAAATAAGTCAATGGTTATGTTAAATAAATGATCGTGTATTAATGTTAATTTGATTAGTTTACAACAGTTTCATACAATAACGTTAAATTTATAATAATAAACAATAACTAATTATTAATAATTAATAATTACTGATCTCAAGTAACCCACACTGCACTCGATAAATACAAAAAGTAAAATAAAAAGCCAGGACGGTACAGAGCTCAGCTCTGTCTAAAAAAAACTAGAGAAAAAAATCAGAAGTAAAATTTAATACTAAAAGTGATGCTCAAATAATAGATTTCAATTCACTCTGTTATCTCCACCCACACTTAAATTAGTTTACAATTATTAAATACAATAGGATTAATCACACGGGATTTAATTTATATTTATTTAATAACATTATAATCAATGCAATCTTTATTAATTTATTTTATATTTTATAGGGTATCATCTTTAACGTTATGTGCACCATATTCGTTTTTTTTTCTTTAACTTTATCATTATATCTATTTAATCGATTGAGTGATTCACTTTATTGTATTTTATTACGTAGTTTTATTTACGAAAAGTCGATATGATATATCCTACAACGGCGTACAAAACTTCCATCATTATTATTATTTTTTTTTTATTATTATTATTATACAGTAATTGCAATATATAATATTATTAATTTTACTAAAAAAAATTATTAACAATTCAAGATTAGTAAAATAAATTTATCTACCGTCAAAATAATATTATTCGCGTAAAAATCATCTGATATCATGACGAGGATCATTATGAATATAATGAATCTTATATTTTGACACAAATTTGAGATTTATATAAAAGTCATATTAAAATACATTTGATACCCGTAATAAGTAAAATATTTATGGAAACAAATTTTTTTTTTAACTAGATTATAAAATATTTATTTTTCTTGTTGGAGAAAGAAAATTTCTAGTAATTTAATAATTAAATCATTATGATATTAACATAAATTCATAATTAAATGATGGTCATATCTGCATAAAATCATAATGATATCATAGTGATATTGTTAGCCTTTTTAAATCGTGATATAAAATTATTGAGTCATAAATATATACAGGAAATAATGCAAATTAATTAAATTAAAGAAATTTTTAGGAGGATTTAAATTGTTTTCAAAATAAAAAATAATTATCTTAAGACGAAAAAATTTTGTCAGTCAAAAATTTTTTTTAAACCAAGATAGTGTTTTTTTTAAATATTCTTCTAAATTAAGAAAATCAAGAAAGAAAGTAAAGTAATTCAACAGTATAGTGCATGATAAAAATACTGCTTTTCTCAATTATTATACTTTTTCTCTGATGAACAGAAAAAATGAAAATTTTACTAATCTACTTAAAAAAAATTCTTTCACATAAGTATTTTATTTATTCCGGGTTTTGGATGAATATTGATATGGCTTTAATATGAATCTCATATTTGTGTCAAACTATGATATTCATAATAAACCTCATCACAATATCAGATGATTTTTACACGGATATAGCGTCGTCTATTTGCAATTATCGAGCTACAAAAAAGCGGTAATTTTATTTGGCACACAAATTGGCCTTATCACTCTTTACATAAACAAAAAAATCCCAAGTTTCAACAATTACTAATTTATCTAGAGTCGATAAGCAATTTTTTTATCATCAGTCAAAGTAATTTATTTTCAGTCGGTAAGTTAATTTTCTACAAAAATTAATCAGTATTAAAAAAAATTGCAATAAAAAAAAATTTTAATTTTATTATTATTAATATTAATAAATCAACGCTCATACCAGTGAGACTCGTATTAATAATAATTCTCAACCTGATCGCACTCACACAATAATTAATAATTATTTAATTATTAATATTAATAACACATTGTTTACATATACTCTTACTTATTATTTATACTTCTTATATTAATTAGTTATTTGTTTAAAAATCGTAGTTTAGTACTTGAACGTGGCATAAAAAAATTTTACATCAATTTTCACAACTGTGATTCGTTAGTTTTATTATTTTAATCATTATTTTTATCTTTTTGTTGAATCAGTTCGAGTTATTTATCTAAATAAAGAGGTTTATATGCATTTGGCAGTTTTGTTATTACAATTTATATTTAGTTGTTAATTGTTATTTGTTTTACATGAACCCTTTCGGGGACCATACTGTCATTTATTGTTAACATTATATGATTTTATCTTGCTAACCTTTTTTTTAAATAAATTATTTATCCATCTTTTGATTATTATTTGATCTGCGTGCAATTATTTACAGTATATTAACATGTTTTCTAATAATTCTCAATGTCATTAGTAATTCATTGGTAACAAAATATATAGGGACAATAATTCAATGTTTATAATCAACATTATATACAATTTTTTATAAATATTTTTTTAAGTAATTAATAATTTTATTTTTTCTACTTGGGAAAAAAAAATTTTTTATGAAATTTTATTTAAATTATTATTTTTTTCGGGTTAATAATAATTTGTTTTTATATTTTATGAATTTTAATGAAATTTAATTAGTAAAGTTTTATGAAATTTCACACTTCATGAAATTTTGTAGAATATTTCGTTTAATTTAGTTAGTAGAATTTCATGATATTTTATGAAATTTATCTCTAATTAAAAAAAAAAAATTTGTAAATATCTAATAATGTATAAAAGATTCTATAAAATTATAAAAAATTTCATATTTAATATAATTTTATAAACTTTGATTTAATTTTATCAAATCAGTATTTTTTTTTGGGTTGATAATAACTTTTTTAGATTTAATGAATTTTTTATTAAATTTAATTGTTAAAATTTTATAATATTTCACATTTTAAAAAATATTAAATTTTATGAAATTTTAATAATAAAATTTTACTAATAAAATTATATGAAATTTTTATGAAAACTTTAATACTAATATAAAACTTTTAATGAAAATTTTATGAAATTTAATAATAAAATTTTATCAATAAAATTGTATGAAATTTTAATGAAAAATATCCCCTGGTCTTAAATATAATTTAATAAATTGTAATATTTTATCAAATTTCATAAAAAAATTTTTTCCCATTCAAATAATATAATACACCTATTAAAAAATAAAAAATATATATTGAGGAAAAATAAAATCATAAATAATAATAAAAAAAAAAAAGAATAATAACATTGAGAAATAATAGAACAATAAACAAAGTCACTGGTCGTAAATAATTAAATTACAATAAATAATTATTTACGTAACATACTCGGCTTTGCGATTATCCCAGTGACTGGGAGTCGCGGGTGTCCACGGAACCGCGACATTAAGTGACTTAATAGTTGACCTACGACGAAACACCCACGGACTTTTGGGGCTCTTGGGACTCCGAGGGCTCTTTGAGGGCGACTCCGCAAAAGTGACGCTGCGGCGGGTAGGCCGTGGCGGCGGAGGCGGCGGGGGTGGAACAACCGCCTTCGGAGGTGGTGGCGGAGTCGGCAACGATATCGACGGCGATGGATCCGAAGTTTCGTCGCTGCTTCCCGCTGGTGCGGTGTACCAGGGGCTTACACTTGTGTGTGAGTATTGCTGTGTACCTGGTCGCCCTCGGTATTCCCAATCGCGTTCGCCGGGGCGTAATACTAAAATTTTTTTAGTTTTATTAGCTATTACGCTCATTGTAATTATAATTATAATTTTTTTATTTTAATTATTGCTTTTATAGTATGTGCGTTTAGTTTTTATAATTTTTAGATTTTATTATAAGTTAATGTTTAAATGTAATTATGCAATTATATAAATTTATTACTGGCTTTAATATTATTATTATATATTTTAACTATAATTGAAATTCATTAAAAATATTTAAAAAATGCATTTATGGAACTATAAAAAATATATATTTAGAACAATATTAAAATAAAATTTTTTATTATATATTTTTAACAAATTTTTATTATAGTTATGAGTTTCAAGATTTTTATCGTAATTTTAAAATAAACAGTTGAATTTTTTGTTATTACGCGGAAAATATTGCACGGAAAAAAGTAAACTGTAATAAATAATAGTCGATTTATAATAAGTAATGATCAACTGCTAAAAATTACTATTTCAAACAGTAAACTCGTGATTTTACTAATCACTTTATAATATTTATCATTTAAATGCCACAATTTATACTTTACATGGAAGAAAATACTATTTCAAACAGTAATATTCGCTATGTGAATGTCGAAAATGTTTAAGTATAATAATTAAGAATTTTGACTTTGATATTTATCATTTTGTACCTAAAAAATGATCGCATGATATGTAAAAAATATAAAATACAGTTACTAAATTCCCAATACAAGCAACGTCAAATTTACTAAGTAAAATGGTAAATTTTAAACGCAACGCTAAAATTCAAACTATAATTATTGACTTGCTTGGACTGGTAAAATGTATATTTTAAGAGTAGAATTTTTACTGTTTTAAATGTTAAATTCTCCTAGATTGAGACCCCCTCCTCATCTGAGTTCCCCTTCTCCTCATAGAATGGACTATATATTGAAACGGCAATTTTTACTGTTTGAAACTGTAATTTTTTAAGATGACAGAGTCGTTATTTAATATAGTGACAGCTACTAATCACTTATTTTGGATATTAAATTATAAATTGTGGCTTTTACATTTTCTACATTAAATTCTGTAATATTTATATTTTTGCCACCCCGATTTACGCTGTACTGTTTGAAACTATACAAATTAACCGGAACCTTAGTCAATTTTAGTTGACTGTTTTCCGTGTGGGTGTATAAAAAAATTTTTTAAAGAAAAATGATAGAAAATTCAATTTTGAATATAAAATATCTCATGATTTTTTTTAAAATCTAATATTTTTACCGTAATTTCAAAATTAAATTATAACTCATGACAAATGATTCAAATTTTTGCTAATAAAAAAATCTTTATTTAAAAACTAGGAGCCATTTTTAAAAAAAATTAAATTTTGAATAATTTTAATTAAAAAATTCTTTCATACGACCAATACTATTGCCGTAATATCAAAAATTTACCATTGATTATAAATAATTCTTTTCAAATTTTAATTTTATTCGAATTATTACCTAAAAAAATTTATAAAACTTTCCTCTAATAAATAAAAATTTCCACCATTTAAACATTAACCAATTAAATTATTTTTAAATTATTTAGTGACGTATTTGTGCTGTTAAAATTGAAAATTCAATAAAAGCTTATGTTAACATAATTTTCTTAAAATTTATCCAAAATATTGAAAGTGATGAATGTTGATCAAGTATGAGATGAAAAATGAATAAAATAATTCGACCTCGGCTCACCTTAAGCTGAAAGCGTTCAAAATAAACTTATAAAAAAAAATCTTTAATAATAAAAAGGAATGAGAGCATGCGTCACTGTAATTACATGCTTATGTACAAATAATAAGCTGGATTGATAAATAAAAAAAAAATAATGTCAATAGAATAAAAAATGAAAGCAGTGAATGCATAAGCATTACTATAATTGTAAATAAGTATAAAAATATAAATATATAAATAAATAAATTTATACAGAGGTTGTTAAACGGGGATTTAAAATAAAGGGTGAGAGTACTCACATATGGTCCCGGAAAAGGCGCATGCATCCTCCGTCTAACTCTGCAGTCCGTACCACTATAGACAAAATAAAAAAACGAAAAAGTAGAACAACGCAAAATCACTGCTAACGCCTTTTTTTTTGTTTAAAAAATTCAGGACATTTAATTTAAATAATAAAAATTATAAATTACAAATTTAAAATAATATTCTAGCGTTCAGCCTCCGAATTATCATCGCAACAATTAGCAAACTATCGTTACTTGGATAAAAAATTATAAACAATAATTATACTTGAGTGTGTGTATGTGTGTGTGTGTATTTTTTTACTGCCAGATTGTTAATTATTTACTTCGGTCTGCGAACAGATTTATCATTTTTTTTTTATAAATAAGGCTGCTAGTGGCATGCTAAGCAGAGGTCTAATTACACGGATTTATTTTTTTAATTGTCATTATTAATTATTTTCTTAAGGATTGTCGGTAGTAATTACGTGGTAAGCTTTTTCAGTATGTTTACAGTTAAATAATAATTATTATTATATGGTAAATATTAAATATTGTAATACTAGTATTACTTTTAGTATTAATAAATTACCCGGCCATTGTCGAAGTCGCGACCACCACCGATAGTTAAGCGCGCTTTGGCTTTCATGGCGTCTGACAGTGAGATCTGTAATTATATGTTTTATTAAAATTTTACAGAAAGTAATTATTATAACATTGATGGTTCCATGATTCTTGATCCTCCGACAAAATATCCCGGATAAAATATTCCCGGAAAAAATATCTTAAATAATTAAATTAAATTACCAACACATAAGCTTGTTATCCCCCTTGTGTGTTGTGCCCTTTTATCGTGGATTTTGTCTTCTGTGGATATCTGTGATATTTAGTCTCGGGAATATTTTTTTTTTTGGGATATTTTGTCAGGGATATTTTGTCGGAAAATCAAGACACCTGATACCATATTGATAATACCTTAGCTCGAGTGGCTTCGGTGTGTGATTTATAGCAAAATTCAACGAGAGCAACTGCGAGGGCCAGCAACAATCCACCGATAAGTATATAAAATATTCCAGCGACATTGCTTAAGGATAGTTCATTACGCGCGTCTTGTTTGTCCCCATGGCGACACTCGGTTCTGTCGAACCACCATTTGTTCATCAGCTTTCCCAGTTCCCCGGTTTCGATCAGCGAGAGCACTGCTAAATTTATTTTATCTCTGGAAAATTTTAATGTTTGTCAAATCAAGTACTTTTGATATTTATTTTCAAAATTAGGGTGGTCCAAAAATACTAACTTTTTTTTTTATATTAAAAGTCTTTTATGAAAATGAATTAATTTTTAAGTTTTAAGAGTTTTAAAAAATTTGCTCAATACAAATTTTGAAGGACTCGCTCAAGATTTTAAAAAATTTCCAAAATCGTAAAAAATTGATTTTCTTTCGGTTTAATTTTTCTCGAATTATTTTTAAAGTAAAAAAAAATTGAAAATTTCAAAAATCTTAAATTCTCAAAATTAAATAATTTTTAATCTACAAAATAATAAAAAGATTAAAAAAATTTAATTTTTGATGATTTTATAAATTTATTAATATTTTGTGACGCTAAAAAATATTTTCTGAGCTGATATTTGGAAAGGGCTCTTAAAACGTGACAAATTTCTATAATAGTCAGTTTTTTGTGACCACTCGACTCAACATAGCATTAATTAACAATTGATGAGTACCTCAAGGGTGAACCGATAGGTGTCGCAATACCAAATCCCTTTGTGTCAAGATTCCGTCCTACTTTCATGGTATCACAAGGCTCGCGTTCATTTATGTAATCATTTTTGGGGCTTTCTATCAGCAACGCATATTTTCCTTTGCTCGCTCTTACTTTTTTTATACCCTCGTCGTATGTTTTGACAAAGACATGATTACGAGCGTTCATATACTCCCACATTTTGCTGTACAAGCTTATTTGTGATTTCTGTAATCCATAAATATTAAATATTATTATTATTATTCATTAATAATTCTTTCTAATCCTTTAATTTGATGTAATTTATTTTTAAAACCTTCATCAAAATATTTTAGCAACAATTTTTGTTATTTTTTATAATTTTATAAAATTAACAAAGTTAAAATATAAATTCACTAAAAAGTAAAAAAAAAAACTTTGAAAAAAAAAATAATTTTATATTTTAATTTAAAAAAATCATCAAAAATTATTGCTAAAACCTTTTTATTAAAATTTTTTATAAAGCTTACATCAATAAAAAAATAAGTACACTTCAATATTAAAAAACTAAAAAATCAATATTTCAAATTATTTATATTAATAATAATAATAATAATAATAATAATAATAATAATAATAATAATAATAATGATAATATGACTTTTATAATATAATAAATGTAATTGCTTACCCGGAAAAAATCCCAGGTAGATCCGTATTGCAGAGTCCCGTACTCGACTTCTGTTTGCGCAGCTAAATCTTCCGGGGAGTTAATGGGAGAAACCATTCTCTCGACCGTTAAAAAGGCTGCCAAGTTAGCAGTGTACGAGGATATTAAAATCAATGTAAAGAACCACCAGACGGAACCGACGATCCTCCCGGACATTGATCTTTAAAATGAATTATATTATATTTATACATTATAATAAAAAAAGTATTCAGGCTTTTAATAAAAATTTCATTCTCGCTTTATCTTTTAATTAGCATTCAAAAACTCTGCCGCGTAATTGCACTTTTATGCATTTAAGTATCGTTAATTTTTTCAAGGATTAATCATGTCAGATATGCTTATAAAAAGTTTATTAATATTTCTAAAAGCGAACATTTAATATTGAATTGAATGGAATATAAATTATGGAATAAGTCTCTTTGGTTATTTTATCAGAGATGATTAATGTTGATGATATTCATTAAAAAACTCAAGAGTCTTGAGTTAAAATAATGAAGTTATTATACTATAAATTATTATTGTGATTAGCATAAAGACAATGCCGTAAATAAATTTTTTTTTTTAATTTTTTGCGTATTTACCTTGGAGAAATATCACAGCCTTGTTGCATAAAAGCTCCGAGAGAAAACCACATACTGTTGAGAATACTAAAATCATTGGCCATGCACGGGTTCGGTGAATGCAGTGAGGTCTGGTTTTGATGAGGATGTTGGAGACTCGGATCACCCCGGCCGAGTGATGGATCTCCGCCAGAACTCAATTGGATCAGTCGCCATTCATACGGCGAAAACCTGCAATAGAATTTGAGTAAATAGAAAATGAAATAAAATCAAACAGAAGAATATATTTTAGTCTGACTTAGTAATGCTTATACTACTTGCCTAGATACGATAAAGAGAACAATGGAGACGCCGATGTAGGAAAAAATAACGCAGACCCAAATCTCTTTGCTGAGTGGATTTAAAAAGCTAAAAACTCCAGGCTTTTGCTTTATTGGTTTTTTGATCATTATACTAATGCCGAGTGACATGAATGGTTTACTGAAATCTATTACACGTTCACGTTCAGACGTAATTGTCATTGGCGCAATTGCTATGTCCGCTTCCTGCAATTAAATCAATTACACTCATTACATTTATCTTTCTATAATTATACCATTTTATTTCTACATGATTTTAAAGTGCCCGAAATTATTCTATACATAATGATAAATTTTTTCATCTTTATTAGCATTATTATTAATAATTATGCAGCATAAAAATAGTTCCATGTTTTTTATTTTCTCATTTAATTTTGAATATTTTTTTATTTTTTAAAAAATTATTAATATTATTATCGATATTATTAAGAGAATAAGAAAAATTTTGTCTCTAGAATAGTCATATGGTAAAATCGGTTTTTTTAGTGAAAATTAGTGTCATAGCAAAGGTCTTGACTTGAATTTGTGTCTTTTCAAGGTTTCATTTCATTCTCACCGATAGTCAATTTATTAAGATAAATATTTAGGCTGCATTCGAAAATTCTTTTTCTCTAGATACGTAATTGACATTTTTAAAGATATAAGCTCATCCTGACATTATACTCATTGAAACCTTTCATTTGAATACCCACATCAATTTTTCACATATTTATATATATTATATATATGTATATATGAAAAATATATCAAAAATGCATGTGGGTACTCAAATGAAAGCTCTTGGATGAGTGTAACACCGGGATGAGCTTATATGTTTAAAATCATTAATAATTAAGAGCTAGATTACAGTGCAATTTAACAAAAGTCATTATTTAGTAAAGACCTTGTATCTTGTGAACTATTGACATTTTTAAAGATACCAGCTCATCCTGACATTGTACTCATTGAAACCTTTCAATTGAATACCGATATCAATTTTTCACATATTCATATATATTATATATATATATATATATATATATATATATATATATATATATATATATATATA